AAAATAAACAATGAGAAGACAACATTACCCCTCTAAACCAATAACAGTACCAACACCGCCATCGCCGCCACTTCGACCACCGGATCTCCTCCCTGAACGTGCCCGACAGATGTTTATAGTACCAAGGAAACAACAGAGATACCTGATTCGGCAGCGGCGGGGCGGGGAATCCGTAGCTCGGCGGAGGGTTATACGGAAATACCACATGGGCAAACAACAAGGATATCGGATGACGATATGATAGACAAAAGTTTATATACTAATCAATTATACAATCTGAGGCACATTTTGTAGGACATTCTCATGAAAAGTGTGGTAAAAAGAGTCTGAACTTCAGTCATTTGCATCAAGATAAGTACAGTTTAAAGAGAACATAAATTTGAGAAAACTAAAGAGAAGCACACATGAAAAAAATTCAAATAAGTGTAATTGGTATCCAAACCACTAAATTGAACACTACAAAAAAGGTAATATAAAGATTACGGGCCGAATTGAGTCCGTATTACATGGGCTGGGCTGTTAAGTTTTTAATTCCGTTGATTGCTATTAATAGCTCGGAGAAACACTGTAGGAAATGTTGGCCCCACACCAGCGGGATCAGCGTGAATAGTTAAAATTTATTTCTTTATCTTAACAAACCGATACCATAAAGATATTTTGTATATTTTATTAAAATCATTTTTTAAATTGTTCAGCTATAGATAGTTCATATAGGATTAGGATAGAATATAATTTTTATATTGTTTTATTAGTTTCTGGCACATATTTTTTTACCTACAGGATAATATTATCTCAATTCCAATTTCATATTCAAGATTTATTCCATAATTACGAGAATCAGGTTAGTAAAGAATATCAATAATATTTATATTTTAATTATAATAATGATTATAGTTGATCATTTACTATTGAATTTTTATGAAAATTTATGCTAATTTGTTTAACTCATATGTTTTCATAAATTAATGGTCATATAACATATTATTTTCTTTTGTAGAAATTTATTCTCTGATTTTTGGATAACATAACTACATATATATATATATATGTATGTATGTATGTATGTATGTATGTATGTATGTATATTGTGTATGTGTATGTATTTATAAGACCATATGAATATTTTTTAAATAGAAGAAAACACTCCAATCTCCAGAATTAAAAAAAACCAAATATTCTCGGTTGAGTGATGAGCAGAAGAAAGATTACATTCAGAAAAGTGTGGATAATAAGAGAAAGAAACAAAATAATGACTCAGCTGGTAATATTGTTAATGGCAAATGACAACGTAAAGTTGATCTATTTTGTGGAGCCCTGTTATTAGCCTTTGAGCATGAAGGTTGGTGTAGATATACTTTATAGTTTATTAAAAAGGGTGATATAACATTATATATTAGTTATTAAATATTTATATTTGTGCTAGGGCAAATTCTTCATAAACCGGTATGTTCTTCACTATATAAGCTACACACTCCAAAGTCTTGTGCGTATTGTGGATCCAAAAAGTTTGAACACGAGCCTCCAACATTTTGTTGTCACAACGGTGAAATCCACCTAGCAGATGTCAATATTCCTAATGAATTATATGACATTTATACAATACAATCACCAGAAGCAATTGAGTTTCGACGCCACACTAGAATGTACAACAGTATTTTCTCATTCATATTGTTTGGGGCAAGATTCGATAAAGAACTCGCATCAAATAGAAAATGAGTTTTCACATTTAGAGCATATGGCCAAATATATCATAATCTCTCTGCTCTAATTCCAAAGGAAAATAAGCCTTCATACTTTCAGCTTTACTTCTATGATACAGAGAATGAGTTGAAAATCGTTTGGTAATACTAGGCAATGCAAATATTAGTGAACTCACGACTAAGAGCTTGATGGATATGTTGCAAGGAAACCCATATTCAAAATTCCTTCGCAAATTGAATGATTATTAATCTTTTAAAGAATTTAAAATACTAATAAATAGTGATGTTGCACTAGATCAACGTGTTTACAACTCACCAACAGCAGATCAGGTGGCTGCAATCTTGGTTGAAGGAAATAATAATAATGCACCATTTGAAAGAGAGATAGTTGTTCATGCACACTCAGGAGGAAGACATCAAGTGAAACACTATTTTGGTTGTTACAATCCGCTAAAGTATCCCTTACTCTTTCCTAATGGAGAGGTTGGATGGCATCAAAATATTAAAAGAATGGATAAAAGGGAAATCAGAGTTTATAATCAACAAAGAACTATAATACCGACTTCAGTAGCCCCACCGACCTTCACATCTGCAGAATACATATTTATTCGAGAAAGTGAAGGTAAATTTAAATTCACAATTCTTAGTAATATTATTATATATGAACATAGCTTAACGCACAAATTTACAGGCGTCAAGGCACCAAAACCCGAAAAAGTATCATGCCGAGATTATTATTATCATAAGCTCCAGATAAGAGACTCTCGACAATCTATTTTACTTACATCAGCGGGTCGTTTATTCTATCAATATGATGTTGATATGTACATAAAGCTTGAAACAACAAGACTTGATTACTTTAGAAATAAACAATCAGAAATCAGAGCAGAGTTATTCCAAGGCATTGTTGACAGTGTAGCAGCCGGGGAAGCAAATGCATGCTAAGTGGGCAAGAGAATAGTGCTTCCATCGTCATTCATAGGTGGTCCTAGAGACATGCGTCGTAGATATCTTAATGTAATGTCATTAGTACAACGATTTGGAAAGCCAGATCTTTTTATAATAATGACATGAAATCCAGAATGAGAAGAGATCACTGAGCAACCACATCCAGGTCGGACCCATAATGACAGGCCAGATCTAACCTCAAGGATATTTCGAGCAAAGCTCCAAGACTTGAAAGACCAACTCTTTAAGAAATAGATCTTTGGGAAAGTTGTCGCACATGTTCACGTTATTGAGTTTCAAAAAAGAGGGCTACCACATGCACATATCTTAATAATTCTAAGTGGAGATCACAAGATCATATCATCGGATCAGTATGATAAGTATGTATCTGTAGAAATTCCAAACTAATCCAAACACCCGATCCTCTATGAATTGGTAAAAACACATATGATGCACGGACCTTGTGGAGAGTTGAACATGAAGAACAGTTGCATGCAAAATGAAGAGTGCAAATATCACTATCCTCGAGAATTTATCTCACAATCATTGCAAGCAAAAGATACTTACCTAATTTATAAGAGGAGGAAAGATAACAAGACAATGTTGGTCCGTAATAAAGTTCTTAATAATCAGTGGGTTGTACCTTACAATCCATATTTGTTGACGCGTTATAATTATCATATTAATGTTGAAATATGCTCAGGAATTAAAGCAATGAATTACCTTTACAAATACATATACAAGGGTCATGATAAAGTGACAGTAAACATTTAATATAATGAAGGAGGAAGACTTGTGAATGAAATAAAAAAATTTCAAGATGCAAGATGGGTATCGGCTCTAATATAATGAAGGAGGAAGACTTGTGAATGAAATAAAAAAATTTCAAGATGCAAGATGGGTATCGGCTCAAGAAGCTTTGTGGAGAATATATGAATTATGAAATAAAAAAATTTCAAGATGCAAGATGGGTATCGGCTCAAGAAGCTTTGTGGAGAATATATGAATTTTATCTTAATAAGATCTACCCAGCTGTCATCAACTTATAACTACACTTGCCGAATCAACATTTTGTTTCCTATTGGAAAAATCAAGACCTATAGAAGCTCATCCGCTGGGACCATGTCTCCAAGACAATGCTTACAAAATTTTTTACCCTATGTTCAAAAATTAAAGAATCAAACAAATCAAAACCAAAAAAAGACCAAGAAAAAGAGTTCTTATATTGTGAACTTCCCGAATATTATGTTTGGGATTCGATGATAAAATGTTGGAGTCCAAGAAAACAAAGACAGGTGATAGGTCGTATAAATGGTGCTAATCCAATTGAAGAGGAAAGATATTACTTATGACTTTTACTTACTCACATCAGATGCCCTACCTCATTTGAGAATCTATTGACTGTGGATGGAATTCAATGCACATCATTCAAACAATCAGCGTAGAAATTAGGTTTATTAGAATCAGATAATAACATCAGAGAATGCTTAGACGAAGCCGTCATCTTTCAAATGTTAGCAACCCTTTACTGTTTTTTTGCAACCATACTTGTTCACTGTGAGCCCACAAATATTAATAAATTATGGGATCGATACCTTGATTCATTATCTGAAGACTTTTCAAGGAAACCTGGTGCTATAAGAGTTTCGATGATAAATGACACCCTCTGCAACATTAAATTCTTCTTAGACAGCATGGGAAAGAATATCAATAAATTTAATTTACCGCCTATTCAACATAACCCTAATTCAGAAGGAATTTCATACCCTAGAGAAATTCAAGATGAACTTTACCGCCTATTCAACATAACCCTAATTCAGAAGGAATTTCATACCCTAGAGAAATTCAAGATGAACTCAATGTACAAATTCCACTTGAAGTAATTCAGAAGGAATTTCATACCCTAGAGAAATTCAAGATGAACTCAATGTACAAATTCCACTTGAAGACTTTAATGCTGAATCAACATTCAATTCTGAACAATATAATGCATATACTTCCGTGCTATCATGCATTCAGGCAAATAAAAGTGGGATTTTCTTTATTGATGGGCCAGGAGATACTGGGAAGACATTCTTATACCGTGCTCTACTTACCAAAGTAAGATCAGAAGGGATGATAGCTCTTGCTACAACGACATCAGGCATAGCAGCTGTATTAATGCCTGGAGGCCGAACAGCACATTCCAGATTTAAGATAAAAATACCAACAACAGAATCATCTATGTGTAGCATATACAAGCAAGATGGAACCTCAAAACTGATTAAGATAGCTAGATTAATAATTTAGGATGAAGCTCCAATGGCTAAACGCGTTGCAATTGAAATATTAGATAGAACATTAAGGGATATAATGGATCAAGATGCACCATTTGGCGGCAAAGTAATTGTTTTTGGTGGGGATTTCAGACAAGTTTTACCAGTAGTAACCTGCGCAACAAGATCACAAACTATTAGAGAAAGTTTAGTAAGCTCATATTTGTGGAGAAAAATAGAAAAGTTGAAGCTATCAAAGAATATGAGAGCAAGGACAGATTCAACATTTAGCGACTTTCTTCTTAGAGTTGGGAATGGAGATGAACCGACGGTGGCTGATGACCTAATAGCATTGCTCACATCTATTTTGATCAAGAATCAAAGTGATAATTTACCAGAAGATTGCCTCATAAAATCAATTTTTCCATCTTTATATGAGAACTTCCAATCCATTGACTATATGAAAGATCGAGCAATCCTGACAACAAAAAATGAATATGTCGACATGCTAAATGATAGAATCATAAAACAATTTCCAGGTGAAGGAAAAGAATTCTACAGCTTTGATGAAGCAGTTGATGACACAAATCATCACTACCAGCAAGAGTTCCTAAACACGTTGCTACCAAATGAACTACCACCCCACAAGCTGGTATTAAAGAAACATTGTCCTATTATTTTATTAAGGAATCTGGATCCAACTAATGGGCTATGCAACAGAACACGAATGGTATGTCAAGATTTTAATAGTAATATAATTTATGCTAAGATCATAATGGGACAACATGCTGGGAAAGAAGTTTTCTTACCAAGAATACCGTTATCTCCAGCAGAAGATGAGGGGTTCCTATTCAAGTTCAAACGAAAGCAATTTTCGATACAGCTATATTTTGCAATGGCAATCAATAAATCATAAGGACAAACAATTTCTCATGTAGGCATCTATCTACCTCAACACGTTTTCTCTTATGGACAGCTCTATGTTGCTTTATCACAAGGGACTTCAATGATAATAACCAAAGTCCTTATAATATCGGACGGAAAATTTAAAGAAGATGAAAGATACACAAAACATCTGGTATACAAGGAAGTCCTCCAACCAACATACGTGTATTAAACTTCAAAGTCACAATAGCTATTCTAAAGGTAATTAATTTCTCAAAATAATTATGTGTGTTCATTCTTGTTGATTCCTATAATTTATAATTTTCAATGTTGTATAACTTTTTTCTTTAGCATTTTCCCCCACTTAGACTATATTATGAGTTATTAATATTCAAAACCTTATGAGGAACAATAATTAATAAATTGATTTTCTAAGCTATAGTATATTCTATAATATTGGTCAAAACTAACATGTATATTTTAATCAAATTAACAGAAAATATGACTACCGGTACTGAAGGGCAAACTCAACACATCCAAATAAGTCAGCTCAAGAAGTTTCAGAAAGAATGGACCATTCATGTTATCATATTTCGAAGTGCAGAGGCTACTTACAATAATGCAAAAGGATCAGGGAAATTACTAAAGCTAATTCTCGCTGACGCTTAGGTAAAATAAATTTATTCATTGTATTATATTTCTTGCACAATGTCACGTTTGATTATATGAATATTGCTAAACCTATTTATATATTCGGTAATTTTATTAAAACCCCAACAACTTTTAGAATGACTTTTTATGCTGTTTTTCTGTTTACATATAACTAATTAAAATATAATATACAACTTACTATTAATTAATTATATTTTCCATGCATTGATCTCTTGTCTTAATAATATTTGCAGGGTAACAAAATACAATGAGTAATGTACGGAGAGACTATCAAAAAGTTTATAGATATGCTTCAAAAAAAATCAAATTATTTTCATTTCAAATGGAGAAGTGAAAGGAATAAACCCAACTTTTCCAAGTATCCACAAGTCACTTGAATTAGTATTAACAAAAGACGTATCGATCAAAGAAGCACCAGCAGGATTCCACTTGGAGAACATATTTAACAACTTTGTCATCATTTGAAGAAGCATTTTCCATGAAAAATGCAACAAAAATTAGTAAGTACTTATAAATTTCTTACTTTAATCTTTAATACAAAATGAGACATTAATCTACAGAATCATAATCTTTTTATCAAATCACTTACAGATATTCTTGCAATAACAACTAATGTGAAGCCGACGATCAACTATATTACAAGACACAACAAACCAGACACTAGGAGGGAAATCACGCTTATGGATATAAGGTATATTCATGTTACTTATTTCCAATATCATAAGAAAAAAAGATTAACGTTCTTTCTTTTTTCATATGCAGTGGAATGCCAAGGCGTGCAACTTTATTTGGAGATTTGACTACAAATAAAGGATCAATTCTTAAAGCAGAAATCAAATATAAGCCTGTAATAGCATTATCAGATTTTAAAATCTCTATATATCAAGGTACATAAATTATTGCTAAAATTCTTATTAAAGATAGCTAAACATAAAATTAATCCTATAATTTTCTCATTTTTGCAGGGGAAACAAGCATATCGTCGTAAATTATTTCAATATTATGTATCAACCCAAAAATAGAACTAGCTAGCGAATTAAAGGAATGGTAAGCAGAACAAGCATACTTTCATATAACCCAATAATAAAATAGTATTACATTTTAATCTAATATGCAGGTTCTAATTGGAAGAAGCTGCAAAAGCAAAAGGATCTCCATCGATGCTTTTTAAAAATGCTAAGGAAATTCATATTAGTGATATTATGCATACGTTAAAGAATTCGATATAAGTATAATATTATATACATATTCTTATCTACAAATTTAAATCTAACTAAACAATGTTAATATACAGGTACGATATTGCACACTTAAGGTAAAGATAACTACTATTTTAAATAGGCTCCAGCCATGGTTCTATGCTTGCAAAGGCTATGACAAGAAGGTTGATAAAGATGTTAGTAAAGAGTGTCTGAATGACAAATGTCGCAGAATCATTGATGACCTAGTACCAATGTTAAGTAATATATCTTTTTTTATGACATGAACATATTAAAATACGATACTAACTGTCTTTAGAAATTAACAATGAAAAATACAGGTACTTAGTTAAGATTCTCGTGGAAAATGGCACAGATAATGCAAGAGTAACACTCTTTGACGCAGCAGAAACTCTTATTGGTTGCAAAGCAGAAAAATTCATTACAGAAAAGAAAGAGGTAATTCCTAACTCTATTCAAGTAGTAAATTAGAAAATAAACAAATTCATAAGTATTAATATAACATTTGTTCTCATTGCAACAGAAAAATAATGAGTCCATATTTCCAAAAATTTGTTTTGAACATCGCAAAAACATTCAAATTCCTGGTGAAGTTAGATGAAAAGACAAAAGATGAACGAGGCGAAGGCAATATAATATCACAAGAAATTTAACTCCAGCCTGATATTACAATCATCATAGATGATAAAGATGCTACTCTAGAGTTGCCCAGAAAAAAGATAAAGGTGGAGAAAGATTGATCTTGGTTCAATTAGAAATTTTCAAGAACAATATTTTTTAATCATTTTATATAACAACTTATTTTTTGATTACGCTTAGGAATTTTTATAAGGTATTTTCATGCAAAGTTATTAGTAGTTTTGTATGCTTATGTGATTGCTTACATCACATAAAATTACTCTTTGATATTTAACCATTTTACTATATTTTATTATTATCTATGGATATGATCCTGCATTTCGTGAGAGGCGATCGATAAAAATCTACTTTTATTGATCCTGTGAATGGATATATTGTCAGCTAGACGTAAAATACTCTTCCTGATAACTAGCGCAACATGTGGTGTAACATTTATGATATAAAGGTGGCCTCTTTAACCAATTGGCAAAGAATTACTGTTGTGATAATTTTGCTTGGGGTTGTCACTTCAAAAGTTCATGTTAGATGTTGGTGATCAATTTAAAATTCATAGAAGAAAAAGAATTTACAATTTTCCAGTAAATCAAACAATTATCTTAGCTTTTTGAGTCAAAAAATATTTGAATAAACTTAATTTTTTGAAATATTTTCTTCATTACTATAACTACAATTATAATAACAATTACAATATCCCAGTTACATATATTCATCCAAGTTTAGCTTAAAATCCATTACATTTATTTTTATTAATATTTAAATAAAATACTAATAAATCTTATAATTTAATTATATATATTTGAACTCAAGATAAATGTCACTTATTTAAAGTAATGAAATAAACATAAAAAAATATTTTTTGATATTTAACCACGTGCATTGCACGTGCATAAAAACTAGTGTCTGTGGAAAATTTGTAATAATAAGAAAATTGAAAGAATCGTATTTGATTTTATTCTCTCAATCTCGATTACAATTTGAATTCCTGATTACAAAAGAGAAGATAATTGATCTGAATTCTCCCTTTTGTTTAAAACTGAGTTCTTCACGGTGGCGATGAGATACCTCCCTCGAATGCTCGCGTCGAGTTTGCTTCTCGTTGACGATCCGAACGTCTTATTTCACTGGAACGTAGTCTTCTCCTCACGATTTGACGTTGTGAAGAACTTGCGTGACAAGTTTTAAAGAACTCTTGATGAGTTAATAACTCTGAACGAGTTTGAAACTCTATGAAAGAGTTGATTTAACCGAATCGATTTGTAAGCTAAGGATGAAGAAATCTCCTGTTTCCGATCTCCAAAGCTGTAGCAATTCCTCTCCAAAAAAGTCAGGCAAAGATATCTTCTTCTCTGTCCAAAAAGAAGGATCCGAACTCAGTTGAGTTTACTCCTATTTATAGGGCATTAAGAGGTGTAACCGCCCCCTTAATTCGCTCCTAAGGAGGGGTTATTGGTTAGGATATTTTGGGGGATAATGAGATAATTTTGGGGATTCTATTTCATAGTGTTATTCATTGGGATAATGGAACAAGGATAATACCTTTTTGTGTTATTGGTTTTTTGGAACACTAGTGAGACAATTACACCACTTGGGATAAAATTATCCCACTAATATACAAAAATTTTGTCCCAATAGTAAAAATTTATCCCACTAATATACAAATATTGGAACAATGTTGTTCCACTTTGAAGGCAATTGGAATAATTTTAAAATATTTTTGTATTACTTAACTAATACATGCAATTATTATATATTATAAATATATGACATGATATATAAAATATAACATTTATTAATATTTTAATAATATAATTTAATAACATATATTAATAATATTATATAATAGTAATTATAGTATAACGTATTTATTATAATATTATATAATATTGTAATAACATATATTAATAATATTATATAAAAATCTATATTAATATTTTCATAACATATATTAATAATATTATGTAATATATTATTATATAATATTAATTAGTAATTATAGTATAACGTATTTATTATAATATTATATAATATTTTAATAACATATATTATTATATAATTATAGTTATTATATATATAACATACTATTATAATATAATATAATAATTACTAATATTAGTAAAATATTATGATATAATATAATATAATACTATAGTTTGAAATAATATAATATATTATACTATAACATGATACCTTTTAATATATATTATTGTAATTATCATGTAATATATATATGTTATATTATATTTTAATTTTAATATAAAATTTTAAAATATTACATTGAATAAAGTAAAATATTATAATATTTTATAAAGTACATTATATCCTATGATACTATATTATAATATATTAAATTAAATAATATATTATTAAAGTATTATATTATATATATTATTCATATATTGTATCAATTATTATATAATGTAGCATACTAATATAATGTTAATTAGTAATTATTGTATAACATATTATATTTTTGTATAAATAAAATAATGTATTATATTAAATATTATATTATTAAAATATTATATTAAATATATTGATATTATATTATATTAATTATTATATATAGTATAGCATGCTAATATAATATAATATAATACAATATAATAATTAATAATAGTAATTTGTAAGTATAATATAATATATTATATTTTAATATAAAGTAAAATAATATTTATATTATAATAATATACTAAACCAATTGGATAAGTTAATTTAGAAGTAATTAATAGATAAAATTATATTTTAATAAGGTGCCACATCATCAATTATCCCACATGAATTGTCAAATTAAAGACTCAAATTATCCCATTATCCAACTTTATCCCACTTTACCCCACTCAAAATATCCCAAAGGGGTAAAATTGTTCCAATTGAACAAATTTTCCATTTGGCCCCAATTTGTCCCAACTAATAACCCCCCTAAGTGGGGCTGAATAGGGTGTAACCGTCCCCTTAAACTGCTCCACAAATCGTGAGAAAAACGATTTTGAAACCGTTCAATTCGTGCTTTGAATGAGTCAAACGCCAGTCTGGGCGTTCTGGGTCCGAACTCTGCGTTTTAGACTTGAAACGAGAGTTGGGCCTGTTTTTGGCTGAAAATGTCGTGTTCGCACAGTATTGTAAATCTGAAACGCAGAGATGAACTCCGCATTTTTAATTGGAGCGCTGGGGATGACCTCTGCGTTTTGACTCTAAAACACGGGTATGACCTCTACGTTTTGATGTTGTGACACAGGGATGACCTCTGCGTTTTGATGGTGTAACGCAGAGATGACCTTTGCGTTTTGAGGTTGAGACGCAGAGGTGAGCTCTGCGTCTTGATTTGAAGAGACCGTCAATTTGTAGTCTCTTTTGCTAGAGCGTTACAAAGATCATTATCTTGTAACATTCGTCTTGGCTCCTTGAAAATATGAGAGTCGTCAGATTGTAACTCCCGATGTTGATTGTGAAGGCTGTTGATTAGAGCTTTCATCAGTTGTTGTGAAGGTCGTCAGATTGTAACCTTTATCGATCTACGTGAAAGTCTTCAAATTATAGTATTCTGGAAGTCGTCAGATTGTAACTTCCATCATCGGTATTTAATGGAGGATCGGCTATCTGCAGTGATTTTTAGACAACCTACAACTAGTAGTTTTAAAATCAGGAAGATAGTCTAAAGAGCCCTTGAAGTTTATCCCTCTTATCTAAGAAGTTCTCAAGTTTTTTAAAAATATAATTGGGTAGCTTTAAAGGAGAATTAAGATATGTTTAACAATAAATTCAATAAACACTCGGGACTAAAAGTTCAAAAACTAATTCGTGTCACATGAGAAATTTCTAATGATTATTCTTGCATTTCTATATATGAGAAATTTCAAAGGAAAATTCTTGTATTTCTATACCAGAAGGTAGCAAAGTGCAAATTTTAGAAACGTAGTGCTGCCAAAACAAGTGAATATTTAAGTACAAGCAAGGGGACGCGATGAGGTATTTAAGTTCTAATTAACCTATTTAAAGTAAGAAACCCTTCATGATTGTGTGGGGGTATATATGCAAGAAAAACGTGGAAAAATCCCATCGGCGCTATTTTCCCAGCTCGTTTCAGCTCCCGTCACCGCTTCCTTCATCGCCGCCGCGCTCCATCCGCTCAAGAATCAAGTTCTTCGCTGAACGGCCGGTGACCAGACCCAACTCTGATAACAGGTTCTAATCTCGAACCCTAATCTTCTATTTCGCCTGAACCCTAACCTTCACTCGCCGATCGCTGTAAATTCTCTCACTCAGTCTTCATTCATTCATCAATTCATTGTTCCCTTCATTTTTTTGCTGGAAAGATTTGCTTATTATCGTATCTTTTTCTTCGTAATTTGACCTCATTTTCGCATTATTTTTGAAGGTTTAGGGTTTTTGATGCTCTTTGCTGATATTTTGGGGCTTTTGCAGTTTATTTCGTGCGAAATCTTTGTATGGAAAATATTATTTTAGATGTTCGTATCTAGATCCGTGCATTAGGGTTTATAGAAGAGATTCTTGCTTTGTTTATGATTTCTATTCATTAAATTGTAAAAAATCGTTACTTAATTCCACTGGCTGTGAATTGAGTGCAAATGTGATAAAAAAGGATGATGGTTTCCGTGGATTGTTACATTTTGATGAAAATGAAATTAACAGGATGGGCCCGAGGCGGAAAGCAAAAACATGTGGGAGTGCTTATGCGGATCCAAGAAACTTAAGCAAGAGTTCGCTACATGGAGTAATCTTTGGCTGCAATAACAACACTATGCAAGAGTGTCTTTCAAAACAATTATTTGGTTTGTTTCTTGAATTTTATTTCATAATATGAACTTCTATATGTTTGTTTGTTGTCTTTTACTCCGAAATGGTTTCGGTTTTTATAAAGTAGAAGAAACTGCCCACTGTGTGTGTTGTGTCTGCGCGTGTGCAGATCAAATGGTGTTAGATCTATAAAGTAGAAGAAACTGCCCACTGTGTGTGTTGTGTCTGCGCGTGTGCAGATCAAATGGTGTTAGATCTCTGCAGGGTACCAAATCCACCACCGAGTGTGTTGTGTCTGCGCGTGTGCAGATCAAATGGTGTTAGATCTCTGCAGGGTACCAAATCCACCACCGAAGCCGGATATATGCACAAGGGTTGAACTGAATTGCCTTCTTTCATTGAATTATAACTATGCAGCGTGGCTTTAATTTGGGATTCTTACTTACATGATTCATGTCAACTTCTCCCTGTCATTCTAACATAAACATTGTGATGATTGAAATTCGTTTGTCAGGTTTGCCATCCTCACACTTCCTCTATGTGAAGAATATTGAGCCTGGCCTTCCTCTATTCCTATTCAATTACGTTGACAAACAGATGCATGGAATTTATGAGGCTGCAAGCCGTGGCGAGATGAATATTGACCCCTGTGCATGGACTAATAACGACAAAGAGAAAACGGGCTTTCCTGCACAGGTTTTTTTTTTTGTTGCATTATTTGATTCAGATCTGGCAAAAAATTTGCTTTATCTCATAGATATGTACTTTATCATAAGGTGTGTATCCGTCTCCAAAAGCAATGTGAACCAATTACAGAGAATCAGTTTAAGAAAGTCATCGGCAACAATTATTATAATCGTAAGAAATTTTGGTTTGAGTTGGACAAAGCTCAGACAGAAGGTTTAATTTCGTTATTCTTAGGCTCAGATGACATGAGCCCAACTCCTGGCTTCGGCGATGTAAAGTCTTTTAAAACATCAACACCTATCAAATGCAATTTACCAGCCAAATTTGGTAGTGCATCCTTTGAGGCTGCTGAAACAGGGAGAACGAATGAGCCTCCACAATTTGCTGGTGAGAGATTGGAATATGGAAATATGAGATGGCAAATGATAGGAAAACAGCCTGCTGATCCCAATTTTTCCTCTGCTTTTCCAAACTCTGGCATCGATTATCATATTCCGAACATGCCTGGAGATATCAATGAAGGAAGCATGTATCCTGAGGAGACTTGTGTTTCAGTTGAGAAGACGATTGAAATAACAACAGACCTATGTAATGACAATGCTGAGGTAATTAACTTCCAAGTTCTTTTTGCATTAGCCATGTCTTCGCTATATTGTCTCCTACATTTCAGTATTCAAATGTTTTGTATTTTTTCTGTCTAATGAAGACTAATGTTTAACCAATTGTGTTTGTATAGTTGGTATGTATTGTCAAAGAACTGAAAGAAAGGGCTGTGACATTAGAGAAGAGGCAGGTACTCATGACGGATTGGTTTTCGTTATTCCTTTGTTGATATTCATATTTTTGGATTGAGTTACTAGATTAAGTGTAATTTAGAACAATCTTCTTCCCAGCTGGAATTTCATTTGATTATAAGAGTTCCAATCTGGTATTCTGCATATTTTCATTAAATGTTTTATATATTATGGTAAAGTTTTTTTTAGAAATGAATGGTCTGCATAGTAGTGTGTTAGTGTTCTTTCTTTTTTTCCTTTTTGCCCCCTTCAGGGCCTTTTTCCTTCCTGGAAGAACAATTCCGACCATTATATTAATGGAAGATGTCTATCACTAGAAATCTCATTAAATTGTTTCTTAAACCTTAGATTGTATACTTTCCAGTTTCTTTCCAAATTTCACGTGAACCCTAATTTTTTTTAGTCCATTTCCTCATGATTTGCAGTATCTGTTAATGCAAAGTTAGTTTTGAGTTATATGGATTGACGAGGTAAATATGCCTTGTCTTAATTTCAAGTGCCTGAGCTATATGTGCAAGACCAAACCAGTTTAGAGAGATCAGGTTGGAGTTAGATAAGTCATGTTGGAGCTTGACCTAAAACCCTCCAAGAGTTAAATTAGTATAAATTATAGGAATGAAGCTTGTATAAACTAAACAATTAGACAAAGACCAGGTGAAGAGGGTATATTCCTTTGTACCTGGAATCTTGTGCATATCTATAGCGGAGGGTATTCGAGGGCTTTACTATAGCTGTACTTAGCTGAATATCAGCTTAAACAGAATTTATAGTTTTATTAGACATGGGTTGCTAGAGCCACTGGATCTTTGGTGCAGGCCTTCTAAATTGTGACCTGAACAGAATTAGTTGAATTCAGAAATATTCAAGTCTAAGTTGACCAGGATATATGTTTATGTATAAACAGTATCCATAGATAACATTCACATCTTATACGTCTTGCATATGTCAAAATAAAGATATCATTGCTTGGTTTTTCTCCAATGCAGAAGTATTGTTAACGTTTAAATTGTCAAGAGTATAACCTGTGAGTTAACAGTTAGATCGGCTTCAGTTAGAGCCTTAGAGATGCTAGCTGATGCATTCCTTTAATTGGCTCTTTACAAACACTCAAGTGTAGCACATGCCAGGTCATGTTTTTCCTATGAAAATGGTCTTTTGTAATTGGCCTAGTTGGTGGATTGAAATAAGATTTGGAGAGTTTTTATGTGATTAATCTTCAATACTCAAACCAGGTTTTTCCTTTATGGTTGGTCCCTGGTACATTTACTCAGTACAAAGTTTATTTGTTTGTTATTTTGAACTATTTTTATTAAGTCTATTCTGGTGAAGTTAACTATATTACAATTAAAGATAGATGGGAGGCTATCCATAAAGGCAACCTCACAGATTTCATTAAACATCTTCTCTGTCTGATTTTGTGTGCCTACCCTTCAGATGGAATCAGAACAAGAAGTACAACGACTGCAAAATGTTGTTAGGTGCTCGGGGGTAGAAATTCAACAATTGAAGTCTTGTGTGAAGGAGCTTGAATCCAAAATTATGCGATCTATGGAATCACAAAATGCTATTTATCTGTTAGGAGGCTTCAATGGTGAATCGTGGTTATCAACATTAGATTCCTTTTCACCATCAATGGACGTTCTAATGCCTCTCAAGCCAATGGATTCAGCACGTGCTTATGCCTCAGCTGCTGTATTAAACGGCAACTTTTACGTGTTTGGTGGTGGAGACGGGACTACATGGTTTAATACAGGTGCTAAAAGGCTCATTTTTCACTTTTCCTTTGTACCTTACCATGTTTTCTTGATTTACCACTAAAATTGTTGCTGAGTTCGAGAGAGAAATTCTTTATGAAGTTGAGTGTTACAGCCAAAGGAATAACAACTGGACTTCATGCTCACCCCTGAATCGTTCGAAAGGAAGTCTTGCTGGAGCTACTTTAAATGGAAAAATATTTGCTTTGGGTGGAGGAAATGGAGCCGACAGTTTCTCCGATGTTGAGATCTTTGATCCAGCTCTTGAGAAATGGATCTACAATCAGCCAATGCTTCAAAAGGTGCATCTTGTTTATTTGTTATGAATAATATTCACCTGTGAGTGGTTTAATTTTGACTTCAGTTGGTAGCTTTGGAGCAATTACAATATTACATTTTTTTCTATTGTTGTCTTGCTTGAGTTGTTATCACACTTACACAGTAGGGTAATACTTGATAAGTAAGACAATTCCTGAGGAGGAAATTCTCCTTTTATTATTATTATTATTATTACCTGATTCCTTTAAATCTATAGACACCTGGATCTGCTAAAACCACTGCATAAAAAAGGCAGCACCTTGTAGCTAATGTTCTTATTGATAGTGGAATGCTGGAGGTTGTAATAACATTAATCTATCAGTAAAATGTTTAATCTTTTGTGCATTTGAACTAATCAGCACCATGTGAAATGTGCTTACAACATGTATGGAAAGCTGGCCAATGCGATGCTCTTTACCAGCTTACTGCCATGCCAATTCTCTCTGTTTCTTTAACAATTAAGTTGCTTGTATTTCTCTCACTACCACTCCATATTTGTTGTTTTCCAGCGTTTTGCTCTTGCTGCCGGAGAGCTTTGTGGTGTGCTCTACGCTACTGGTGGATTTGATGGGCAAGATTATTTACAGTAGGTATCTAATTCCTTCAAGTTTCTTTTTTAGTTAATCTTCTGTCGGTTACAGGATTTTACATGTAACTTAACAACTTCAATGTTGGCAAATGACACTCCCTATAAAGATTAGAGCTTGAAAGAAGAAAGAGAAGAAAATGACAACCATCACATGCAAGATATCTGCGACATGCTATTAGGAGTACCTCTTGTTTTCTCTCACTTGTACTTCATCCAGAGGAAGAATTCTTTTTCACTGACTCTATCGGAGAGAGATAAGATGTCAGTAGGTTGTTGTTGCTTAAAGCATCATCCTTCCGTATCCTGTTACATGGTCATGTTGAACTCAAGAATTAACCATAGCATTTTGGGGCAGGAATTGTGAAAACTATGTAGTTATGTGTACTTTAAGCAAGAGCAGAATGAGTAGCCTCTTGAATCTGTGGGAGCCACCTCGAGAAACCCATGGGGTTACATATAGAATCATATCATCTGGTGAAGTGATAATATGGTGAGAACTTTATAACCTACACGAAGGAGGTTATAACTCTTAAATTAAGTTCCTCTAACCATTATATCAAAACTCTGGTCTATATCATCTGGTGAAGTGATAAAATGGTGAGAACTTTATAGCCTAAAGGAAGGAGTTTCTAACACTTAAATTAAGTCCATTTAACCATTAGATCAAAACTCTGAAATTATGGTGAGAGCTGAGGTTTATATTTTTATATTTTAATGTGCCCCGTAGGTTGATGGCCCATTTTATGGGCCGAAAACCTAGATACACACAGCGGTGTTAATTTTTAGAAAATCCGATTTAAATTCGTGTCCGGTGGGATTTGAACTTGGGTTTCTCTGATACCATTTTAAATTAAGTCCCTCTAACCATTATACCAAGGCTTCAAAGTTATGATGAGAATTGAGGTTTATACATTTATATTCTAACGATACAACGCAGGTGAATGGTCTCACATGAGAGAGGGATCTCTAGTATACAATATTTTATTTAACTCGCAAATTAATCATGGCTAGCATTTTTTTAGAGGATCTATTTTAAGTGTGCTCGGATTGGAGCAATCTTGTGACATGAGACGTTCTGGTAGGTTCCCTCACTCGACGTATGGCACCTTTCTTCTATGTTGCAAGGAAACTAATACAGGTAAAGGGTATTGGTATGGATACGGGACATGATAAATTTGTAAAAGGTAGGTTACGAGGACGGAACTAATATTTATATGTGTGTATCATATTGAGATTAATCATTTACACGAGCTCAATATTGTTTTACAATTCACATGTGAAAATTAAAATTCTTATAATATTTTGATGTTTCGTTAATTATGTAGATAACAAATTGGAGAATTACTTGTTTTTAAACTATATATTTAAGGTTTCTTTAAAAATCATAGTTCCAATGGGTATGAGCTGAAAATAATTTGACAGATGTCCAACGAGTTTCAGGAATTGAATGTGAAGTGTAAGATATATAACGAGCGTGAAGTGTAAGATATAATTGAGTATCCGCAATATATGCAATATATACAAGAAGTGTCCATGTGTCCATGGAAGTGTCAGTGTGGTTAGGGATACACGCACATATCTGGTACGGGTACAACTTCAGATAGAAATACCCACGTGACTTAGCCTTTTAGTAGTTAGTATCACTAGCATTGGTAGAATGCACTATATGGAAAGTAACAGTCAATACCAGAATGTTGTGAATCGGTTTTTTAACTATCACCAGACTTGATGATTTTCTTAATGTAAGCATGTTTGATGTCATTTCTCTGAAAAACTTATTACGTAATACATTGACAAATATTTCTAAAATGGAATTCAGTTATCGTGTAATTGTGAAGGTCTCCCGACTCCCGAATTAGTAGGGAGCATATTGTTTAAAGCTGATATTAGACATAAATGCTCACTGTCACTCTTTAAGGTGTTAAATCACTGCATTTAACATAACTTCTTTCTTTCTTTTTCACATTTGTAATTTTAAAAGTAGTTGAGAATGTCCTTTTTCATATCCTTTTTGCCTAGAACTGCAGAGAGATTGGATCCAAGGGTAGGCTACTGGACCAAGTTACCGAACATGAAAACAAGAAGGGGGTCCCACTCAATTGCAGTCTTAAACGAAAAGCTGTAAGATCTTTCCACCTTTTCCAAGCTCCCACACTTTCGAGAAGCAAAAGTATCTGATCCCCTTCTGATTTTCTCAGATACGCGATGGGAGGATTTGATGGTAATAAAATGGTTTCAAGTGTCGAAATTTTTGATCCTCGCAATGATTCGTGGGTGGAGGTTGGATCATTGAACCATGTTAGAGGCTATGCTGCTTCGACAGTGCTTGGCGGTTCCATATTCATCCTCGGTGGTGTAGATGATGATGTTAGAGGCTATGCTGCTTCGACAGTGCTTGGCGGTTCCATATTCATCCTCGGTGGTGTAGATGATGACTGTGATTTTGTACAAACTGTATGCTGCTTAGCAATTTCTACACATGTTTGGTTTCAATTTGTTTCTCTATTTTATTAAGGGTTAAATGCGAATAGATCCCCTGGAGTTCTGTTGTTGTAGACAGACCCCCTGAGTGAGTGAATGTTTTGACTCTTTTATCCGCAGGTGGTCGATTTGTCAAAAAATCTGTTCTCTTTCTCTGAGGCTAAAAGAGTAAAAATTACTCACTCAGGGGGGTTATTTGCAACAATAGAACTGCAGGTGGTCCATCTGCGATTGACCGTTTAATAAATTATCTCATGGTTAGAGCTCCAGGCCGGTTGATCCTCTATTTTCTTGACAGGTGGAATGCTACATTGAGGGCACTGGTTGGGCAAAATGTAATAATAATGCCATTGGAAAGAGGTCCGCTTTCTCAGCCGTCGTTTTATAATCATGCGGGATGAACTTTTTGTTGATGGGATTCTTACTGAGGTTGGAGGGGGATTTGATCGTCGAGACTCCTGTATGTAGAACTATGGCATTTTTGGTTCCTGAGGGATTACGTACAGCTGTTTTTTTTTTTTTTTTGCAAAACCAGCCATGTATACAGCTGAGACAAGTAAGTACGGAGTTATTCATATGCGCATAGCTGAGACGAGCTAGAGGTGATGGAACACCTTGTGAAAGTTTTCGTGGTATCCTTGGCCATATTGGAACAAAAAGTAATCGCTATTGTGTTAACATCTATCTTGGTTTTACCTCAGAATACATTCTTACGGCCATTATTTTAGAAAAGTCGCATCATACGAATATGAGCAGATAACGCGATGCTAGTTTACAACAGCATGACTCAACGATTCAGAAGTTAGAAGCCATAGAGATCTGCAATAGTTGTTCTTTTTGTTGCATTCTACATCACCTCCACGGAGGAGGGAAGTAGTAGTGCCTTTCTACTCCCATACGACTGCACATTAATCTAATTGAAATCTGGTAAGAGAAGGACAATTAGTTATATATAATCTGTTTTACATAAACTTTTAAGGATTTTATGAATTTGGGTTCTGACATGCACATCTTTAACACAACCATGATTTGCCTCAACCTGCATCCGGCTCGAAACATAGATCTTTGAAGTTCTTGATTGCCTTTTTCTTTTGCTTTTCGGGTTAGTTATATCCATACGAATATACAGGATTGTGTGATCTTTCCTGTGGCGATTTTCTTCGTTTTGAAAATTAGAATCCGTCCTGCTGTTCTTTCTCCATTTGCAAGATGAACCGTGAGTAAAAGAATGTTCCCTTTCTAAGATGTCCGGAAAATTTTATGATTTCTTCCGATTGACAAAAACTTCTGATGAAATGAATAGTGAATAGTGTAATTCAGCTACTGGACTCGTTGCTTTGGCGAATTGCGTATTAACTTGCGATGACAAAGATTTTACCTGCTCGATCGTTAGCAGGTTAATACGTTGGGAAGAAGAATGCACCAAGCTGCAGGTGCTGCGCCAAATGCTGGTATAGTTGGAAGACGATGAACAATGCTAGGTCTTTATAATTTAATGTTTATATAAAAATTGCTTCAAAGTACGATGCATTTATATGAAAATTGCTCAAGTGATAACGTTCAACTAAATCAAATAATATATCATCACGTAATTATGTTTTTGTTACCCAGTTGGTTAATACTAAAATTAATGATTCCTGGCTGAATTACTATAAAACTCGTTTAAAGATGAAGGCGAAGTCCACCACCTTACCGTCCCTAAAGCGCCTAAACTGAGATCATGCCTTCCTTTTTCCATCGTAAACACCAAATTACTACGGAGCTTAGCTAGCGACGAAACGACACATACTCCCTCAATGATCAAATAACAACAGAATAAGTACTGCAGCAACGAACGTCGTATTAGCGCAACCGTCGTACTGAGAACAATGCTGATGAGAGTATCAACTAGCACTATTACACGCGTCACAGATATTAGAACTTGAGAATTCTAATTTTTAAATAAAATGGGTCACTTTGAGATAATTAATTTTTCAAATGTTTTTTGTTCGTTTAATAAGCTATATTTTATTTATCTTATTTGGAATTGGTTATGATAAATATTTCAATTTGAGCGATGCCATAATTTTCCTAGCTAATGCTCTTGAAGAGTCCACTTTCCATATTTCATTCAAGTTAATATTTTAAAATATCTAAATCCACCGACAGCATATGGAGTCCGACGACAAAGCAAAATCACAACACTGAGGGTCCACACATAAGAACATTAGGTTCATAAGAAACACGACTATATGTCTAACAAATCTGAAAACTGAAAGCAAATAAGCGTCTTGGTCCTTTTGCTCGGAAGGATAAGCTCGACGGTAGTAAGATCATTTGACAAGGTGCCGCCCATTAGTGTGAGGTCACTGGAGAACCCAAGCAGCATATGCTCAACCCAACAGCCCAACAGACACTGGAGATCTTCCGGGAACTTGGATTTGCGCTCAGCTCGAAAACCAAAACCAAAACCAAATTACTGGTGCAAGCACAAAGAAAAACTGTTGTTGCTCAGTTTCATAAGTAGGAACCATGGACTACAAACTGTGTTAAAAGCCCCTCATCCAAACGGTAGGATCGGTGAAAAGCAAGCAGCGAATTCTCCAGCCGTAGATCTTCAGTGTCATCCGCATGTCATTGTAGACTTCATCAGATAGAAGAAGAGGAGACTGGATGGAAACAACCCCCCATAGAAGGTCCTCCCATCACTATCCCTTTTCCTCTCTTTTTGCGCAAGGAACCTTGGCTGGGACTCCCAGGTATGGAGGAGCGCATAGTTCGACCCCTCAACTCGGCCAATTAGGGGGAGTTCGACCCCTCAACTCGGCCAATTAGGGGGAACCACAGGAAAGCTGCTCACAGGAAATACTCACCGGCCTAAAACCGTGGAAGCCATCTGTGGCGGGTTCTGAGGAAGGGCCCATAACTCAGGCCCAACATCCCAATCCTGATAGTACCAGCCAAGTAAGCACCTGAGGCGAAAATTCATAATTTGGAAAATCATTAAGCAAAGAACATTGGCAACGTCAAGTATTAATTTAGTACATCAATAAGTACATAACATAGATACTACATGAAATATGAACTTCTATGCTGCCATGTAAAATGACAAAAAAATAAAAAATAAAATAAAATAAAAATCAAGAGCATCAGTTCAGAACGGCACAGCAGATTTCAGGATATGGCAAGCAATGATAAGAGAACAAAGTTCAATTTCTGCTTCAAAGAATAGCGACGGTTTCACGGTAAAGTTACGAGAAAGAACAATTACAATTTCACATCCATTATGTGATCATGCCATAAAACTAAATAAATCATTGCATTTAACCCAACTTGCTCCACTGCAACCATCACCCCTAACGTAATATAATATATCAAGCAAAATAAAATTGTCACTCAATTATCAGAAGAAACAAAATATCAAGTTCTAGTGCAAATCAAACTAACTGGGCCTGCTTTATAGGTGTCTTTGAGCTTCAATCTAATCTAGAATAAGTAAAAACCCAGTCAAGGGACAAAGATAAATGCTTGGATACATGCTAAGATTTTAACTTAGTATGATACATGCTAAGATTTTAACTTAAGCCGTAACAAAAGCAAGCGACTTTACTCTTTTAACTTCCAATACTTGATGTAGCTCTATCACAAACACGTCAAAACCTTGTCACGTGTTAATAAGTTTGATATTCTGACAGTCTTTTTCATAAAAAAGTAAGTTCTTTTTATACGCAAAGTTAAAACAAAACAAATATCTTAATGTAAACAAGAAATAAGAGTAATGCAGGGATGGCGCCCAAGAACTATCTTAAATCAAAATGGTCACCATTCCATAGGTGTTCATAAAAGGATTTGTCCAGTAAGTGTTGACATACTGACACATGTGGGAGTGTTCAATTTACGGCTTCACATTATAACTGTTAGTGTTACATAGACAGGAATAGGCTTGGCTTCTAGGATACAGACAACTCAGTTCCTCATAAGTCCATTGCTCAACTAGTATAACATCTTAAATCTGTACATTTGAAGATATTCCGTGGAATGCTTACACTGTTAACTACATGACTTTACATCTTGTTTTGGAACACTCAGAAAAAGAAAATTCAGTACGATTACAAGAGGACTCCCTCTTAAGTCTAAATATAAACAGATGCGAACATCTGGAGCAAATAATGGATAGGAATAATATGTTTCGGACGTTCTAGATGGTGCCTCCACGTTCTGAGTGAGGGAATGCACGATCACCTTTGACTTGACTTGATCAACCGGAATCTAAATAATTGAAATTCCAATTGGTAACTTGCTTTTCATTTCTACATGGTTAAATCTTTTACGTAACAACCTAGCCAGTAAAGTTTCACAACAAGTTAACATCTCATCCTTGCACTGGTAGAGTTGTTATTATAACCAGAAAAGAAGAATTTGAAACCGGGGAAATAACATTAATTTGAATAAATAACTATATGACAAGCAAAGATAATAATATAATAAAAACCAGTATATTAAATATGCATATCAATATTAATCATAAGGAAAAGAAGAAGCTCACCAGCGTAACAGCCTCGGAACACTTCCTCTACCACACTCTCTTGAGCCTGAATCAACCAAATCTCCTACCATCGTTTCATCAATGCACCGCTGACAATCATCAAGATCTGACATGCTCCCACAGAACTCCCAGCTTCTTTACCTCTGATGCAAAATTCCAGCCTACCGGTAGAACAAAAAGAGGAATATCCCCAAAAGTTGATAATAGTCCCAGACATTACAATTTGCTTGTAGTTAAGGAACACAATAATACACCCAGCCAAGCATAAAATCAAATTCTTCAAATCCACAAGATGATAACAATCCACAATGCTTCCAAGCCCGATAACCAGTGTGGCGACACTGGCCCAACAATCACGGTGGCTCTACTCTAGCAACAATGGCCATGAGTCTACAAGTTATAATCAGGCCTCTAGGTAGCCCTTTCCATGCACCTAACGGGTAACTTCAATCCACCCACTAGGCAAGGACATGATCAATACTGCTATTCATGATCAGAACAATCTTAAGAATCAAATTCTTTAAACCCTTGGGACCAGAACAATCAACAACGCTTGTAAGCCCAGCATCTCCAACGGCTACACTCTAGGGAGACCGGCCCAACAACCATGGTGGCTCCACTCTAGCAACACAGGCCCAATAACTCAAGACTCTCTCCACGAGTCTCTACCAGTTGTTCTCCTCTGGCCTCTAGTAGCACTTCCCATGTGCCTACCCCAGAATCTAGGCAGCCCTTTCCATGTGTCTACCAGTCATTTTACACCAGCTCAGCATCTCCAATTGCTCCCCTCGAGCGACACTGGCTCAACAACCATGGTGGCTCCATCTAGCAGCAGAGGCCCAACAACTCGTACTCTCTCCACGAGTCTCTAGCAGTTATTCTCCTCTGGCCTCTAGGTAGCACTTTCCATGTGCCTACCCCAGGAGCTAGGTAGCCCTTTCCATGTTCCTACCAGTACACTGGCCTCTAGGTAGCACTTGCCAAGATCTGCACTCTGACATTGTTGAAGGCTAAGATACCAAGTGTAAATAACCTGATTTCCCAAAAGTCCTGACACTGAAGGAAGCACCAGAAAATATCCTTTAAATCCTTTGGACAGGCACACCTCTCTTCATGCTCATAAGGTCCAGGCATGAACAAAGATCGCAACTCATAAGGTACCATTCTACACAACCTTCAAAAGAATAAAATAAAGGTAAGTAATTTCATCCTCAATTTATCAAATCTGTTCTGATGTTTAAAGCATAAGCAAACATAAGCTGAAATAATCCAGAAATGGCTCAAATGCTGATAATAGGGTATAAGTTACATACATAACTGCTTGCTTTCCCTAATATTATCACTTTGTCTAAGAAATTTTCCACACAGATATAGAAGATAAAAATACAAAGCAAATAATCTCGAGTAAGATAGTAGTGTAGAGTAGAAGAACTGAAGTACAATTAGCTTCATCATTTATTTATCAATTCTGTTCTGCTGTTTAAAGCATAAGCTGCGAAGCACAAACACTCCAGAAATGGCCCAAATGCTAACCATAGGATATATAAGTTATACACTTTAACTTCTTGATTTACATAGTAATATCACCTTATATTAGAAAACTTCCCACATGGATCTAGAAAGTTGAACTACAAATCAAAGAATCCGTCAAGGAGTACAATAATAGCGTAGGATAAAATCCTTCCATTATTCTGAACATAAATTTCTCACACTCCACGAAGTTCACCACAAGAAAATAATTAATTGCATAATCAAGGTCCAGGAGAGCACATATCACAAAACATATCATGAAATAGACATGAATAAATTCTTCTTTAAAGACGCATGCCTCATTTAAGTGAGGGAAGCAGCTTAAAGAATACCTATCAAAGTGAAACAGTGTTAAACAGCTGATTCAACTCCACATGCTTGCATTCAAACTCCTTGTTTTTCTCCTGCAAAATATAGTAAATGTGTGATATAATGCAACAATAGGTTTAATCAATTATATATATCAGCTGAACTTAATGAAAATTTCTCAAAAATAAAATAAAAGGAGGAAATTCTCACCAGCCGCTAAGGGCCTAACGAAAACCCTCTCCACGGCCAATCCGAGCCCAAACTTCAACTCGCATGAGTACACAGATCGCGTGCACCGCCGATCCGTTACTGATGGGAGGAAAGGGACAGCGCCCGAAGAGCAGAAACCGTCCCAAGACTTCATCGGATCATCGATCTTAACAAAACTCTCCAACCAATCTCCCCGCACTCCCATTGAGCTTGCCAGAGCGCTAGGGTTAGGGTTTCGGAGAACTGATCAAGAGTGAAGAAGATCGGCCAAAAAGAGGTCATGGCTAGGGTTTCATAACCTCATCGGACGCCGTTCTCTCCGATCCAGTCTAAGAACTCGCTGATCGTCCAGCGGCCTTCAGATCGCCGACATCGAGGCCCGACCGAGGCAGAGCCGGGCCACCACCAGATCCAGCGCCTTCCCCAACCGCAAGAGAGGCGAGCTAGGGTTAGGGTTTCGCTGGATCGGGCGAGAGTGGGCCCCACGACGGCCAAGCGGCGGTACCGGCGACCCCCTGGGCCGAGGACCGGATCAGGAGATCGTCGAAGCGTTGCCGGAAGAGAAATTCACGGTGGCGGCGGAGAGCGGGAATCGCGGAGGTAGGCCACGTAGGAATGGGCGTCCACGTGGCCTGGAGATAGCAAGCGTGGGATAGACGAGGCGATGTCGAAGGGGCCGGAGTTAGCGACCGGCACGTCGCCCCTAATGGGCGGCGGCGAGAGAGAAAGTTGGGGGAGAGGAGGTATTTATAGGAGACGAGCGTGGGTATCGGTGAGTTAGCCCTAGGTGTTTTGCGCAAAAATGTCCGTAACATTTGTGATTGGGTGACTTGCATATTGGTCCCTTAATCTCTAATGTCAAAGAGTCCTTCAAATCTTATTATTTGCTTAATAGTCCCATAAATCTTTAGTTATCTTGCTATATGGTCCTTAGGTTAGAAAATTTGCTAACCTCTCTAACTCTAGTTGAGTTAATGCTTAACCCAATAAATCAAGTTACCTTATTGTCCCTGAGGTAAATATTTCTGTTGATGTTAGTTTTCAAATAGGGGGTTTATCTGTAGATTATGGGGGTGTTAAGATCCTCAAGCTTCCTCAGATAGTTGGTTCCTATACAAGATGTTCTATCTTGTACATGAAGAATTTGTAAGAGATTGGGGTTAGGATCTCTGGTGGTTCCTCCGACGATCAAGTCAATATTTAAGCTTTAGTGGAGAAGAAAGAGATCAAGTAAAGAAAGTTGTCCGGAATTGCTTACGAGCCCCCTTGCGTTACCCTAGATACTTACCTTTTATAATAGATCGTAAGAGTAGATAGCTAACTTCGATCAAGTCAAATTGGCGGCCTAGTCATCATCTAATTTACACGTGTCAGTCGCTGAAGGGGGTGAGTCACCTAGGCATTTAATGTGAGAGTGGTAGGAGGCGCATAGTGTTGACGAGGTCCGATGAGTCATAAAAACTATTGAGACTAGAGTAATGATGACTCTGACCACACATTTAAGGTGATGGCAATCGACTGTCAGCGAGGGGCTTGAGGACACACCGTCGACCGCCTCACCTCGTTGGAGGCAGGCAATCACGGCCTTTTTAGTCCGCTTCGCAAGTTGTCGGCTAGGAAGAACCGAATGGCAATAGGGAGTGGAGTCGATTAGAATGGTTGGCCGAGTGAGGACGCTTTTCGTCTCGATCTTATGGGTAGGTCGACAAGTACACCTTTTTAGTCAGCTTCACAAGTTCTCGGCTTGCCGGGTCGACCGATGGAGCTACTCGAGTCGTCCCTCTTTTGAATGCGACTGATTAGTCATGGGGTGGTACACGTGTCGTCTCCTAATAGGATCAACACTTAAACTATTTTGCTATTTTGCATGCTATAACAATTTCCCTCCTGAGTTTTGAGTTTAGTGGGAAGCTAGCTATGGAAATGACATCAATTTAGGATTTTGGGGGAAGCATGAGACCATTGGAGGAGAAAGAAAGTGGATTTGAGTTTAGTATAGGTAGGAGCATAATGGGTATTCTACATAATTTCATTACATTTAACAGCCATTAACAACATCACCTGACACGAGGGTCGGATTGGCAAGAAAACTGAAGCTTTAAGGCACTAGTAAGCAAATAATGAGATTTAAGTCACTATTTAGCAATTAGAGATGCTTTAAAGAACCAATATGTAATTAACCATTTGTGATGTCAGTGATTGGCATTAATTTATGGATTTGTTTTTTGTTTTTGTTTTTTACTTACTTGCGCGTATATTCTAGTGTGTTTTAAGTGGTATTTTAACAATCCTCTGAATCGAGTATTAAATATTTCCAAATTCGCATGGCTAATTTGTTTATTGTACATAATTATTTTTCTGATAAACTAGTGTTTTAGCCCGTGCTATGCATGGTGTTATTGCAATTAATCTATATTTTGTCATGTTTCAATCACTCTTATCCAAGTATAATTTTACAGATGTAATGACTCAACCCCCTTCGAAACACACTAACCCCACTCACTCACCCCCATTGACGTTAGAGAGGAAGAGGAGAGAGGAAGAGGATGAGGAGGAGGGGGAGGGGGTTAGGAGCAGGATAAGTTTTTTACAAGGGAGTTTTATGTAAAAAAATCCCATCAACACTGGCCGGAGCAGTAACTCCGGCCAAACTTAAGGCCAATATGACGCCGGAGTTAAAAATTTATACCAATCTGACAAAACTTAAAAAAAATATACCAACTTGTCACCAAGCACCAATCTGGCCATTTTGCCATTTTTTAACTATCACCAGACTTGATGATTTTCTTAATGTAAGCATGTTTGATGTCATTTCTCTGAAAAACTTATTACGTAATACATTGACAAATATTTCTGAAATGGAATTCAGTTATCGTGTAATTGTGAAGGTCTCCCGACTCCCGAATTAGTAGGGAGCATATTGTTTAAAGCTGATATTAGACATAAATGCTCACTGTCACTCTTTAAGGTGTTAAATCACTGTATTTAACATAACTTCTTTCTTTCTTTTTCACATTTGTAATTTTAAAAGTAGTTGAGAATGTCCTTTTTCATATCCTTTTTGCCTAGAACTGCAGAGAGATTGGATCCAAGGGTAGGCTACTGGACCAAGTTACCGAACATGAAAACAAGAAGGGGGTCCCACTCAATTGCAGTCTTAAACGAAAAGCTGTAAGATTTTTCCTCCTTTTCCAAGGGTCCGGAGCCTCTACTAATGAGAGAGTTGCTAATATCTCCTAATGAACAAATCTTACCCGTTCATTTTACATCAACGGCCAATATCCTCACTACACATCCCCATGAAGTTCTCTCTCCCCTTCACAACCCCCTTCAACATCCTGCAGCTCCCCCCCTCTCTCTCCCCCTCTAAGATCATCGGCGCTTGGCGCTCTCTCCCCCTCGATCTCGATCCGCGAGCTCACCGTAGATATGGACCACCTCCGCGAGCCGACCCCGCCGTTGATCTCTCTCGAACTCGAACTCGAACTGATCTCGATCCCCGAGCGGAGTTCGCCGCAGATTTGGACCACCCCGGCGAGCTCTCTCTCTTCCCCAAAATTCCTCCGCGAGATTCCTCCTCCGACGCTGCAGGTAATATCTCTCGACCCGCGAGCGAAGTTGGATTACTTATGTGGTGAGGTTATTGAGTTAATGCCTAGAATTTAAGCGATTATATGTGGGTAGTTATTATCTTTTTTTTAATTGAAAGACTGGTAATGAGAATAGGGGTAGAAGATAGCAGATTATGTATCATAATTGTTGAGAGTGTGATTTGGGAGGAGAAATTGCTAAAAATTAGCTAGAATAAGTGTTTCAAATAATGAGTTTTCTTTAATGTGATGGAGTATCATACTGCAAGTTTACGGATGGAGTATCAAATAATGAGTGTTTCAAATAATTAGCTAGAATGAGTGTTTCAAATTGTTTAGGCATCATACTGCAAGTTTACGGATGGTTAAGACATATTATCGTTCTTTTTCTTTCATGACTGCAAGTTGAATATAGATCATGAAAATATTTCTTTATGACTTTTTATTAAGACTATATCAAACTGTGGTTTATAGGGGGAATTTTTTTTAATTCAGATATGATTAGTATTTAATTTTTATTGTGTCATGAAATTTTTATTAAGACTATATCAAACTGTGCTTATGATTTTTGATATATGATTGACTATTGCAGGCATTATGGAAGAGCCTCTGGAAGAAAAAAATGATAGTTTGGAGCGTTCAAAAGAAGACTTGAAACCTAAATTTTTTATGGAGTTTGATTCTGAGATTGATGCATATGACTTTTATAACGAATATGCACATAGTGAAGGTTTTAGCATTAGAAGAGCTGCTTATGCTGCAGATAAACAAGGTGTACTCACTTCAAGAACATTTGTTTGTTGTAAGGAAGGTTTGCGGAAGGCAGATAAGAGAGACTATTTGACGAGAAATCCAAGAGGAGAGACAAGGACTAATTGTGGAGCGATTATGGGGATTAAGTTGGTAAGGCGTACTGGCAAGTATTCTGTTTATCGTTTCTCTGAAGAGCATAACCATCCTCTTATCAGCCAAGAATCTGTTCATTTTATGCCATCTCATCGAAAAATCACATCATCAGATGAAGCCTTTTTAGACTTGACAGCAAATTCAGGTCTTTCGCCGAAGTCTGCATTTGAATTAATGGGTCAACAAGTAGGTGGTAGAGAGTCACTGGGATTTACTAAGGTAGACCAAAAGAATTACCTTCGAACTGTCCGACAGAAAAAAATGAAATTTGGAGAAGTTGGTTATCTGATAGAATATTTTTCAAAGCAAATGTTGGAAAATCCTTCGTTCTTCTATGAGATGCAGTTAGACACTGAGGAACAAATTACCAATGTTTTTTGGGCTGATGCTAAAATGATAATGGATTATGGTATATTTGGTGATGTGGTAAGTTTTGATACAACTTACAAACTTAATGAAGCAAATCGACCATTTGCGGTGTTTGTTGGATTAAATCATCATAGAGAGACTATTATTTTTGGAGTTGCTTTAATGTACGACGAGACCGCAGCATCTTTTATATGGTTGTTTGAAACCTTTTTAAAGGCAATGTGTGGGAAGCCTCCACAAACCTTTTTCACTGATCAAGATGCAGCGATAGCCAAGGCTGTATTACATGTGATGCTAGGTACTTACCATCGACTTTGTATATGACATTCTTTTTTTTAAAATGTATATGACCTTTTTTTTTGTATATGTCAGGTACTTACCATCGACTTTGTATATGGCATTTGATGCAAAATGCTGTCAAGAAAGTTGGCTTCTTATTCCGAGACCACGATGAAGAAGATGAAGGCAATGTGTTCAACAAATTTCTTTATCAAATTGAGGAAGAGGATGAGTTCTTGAGTGCTTGGCAGTCCATGCTTGATGAGTACGATGCACATGATGATACTTGGGTAGCTGCAACATTTGAAATAAGAAAAAAATGGGTGCATGCATATGTGAAGTGGACAGGAATGCAAACTACACAACTGAGTGAGAGCTTTAATGCTAGTTTGAAGGGGTATTTGAAATCAGACCTACAATTGCCTGAGTTTTTTACTCACTTTGTAAGAATGGTATTTGATAAGCGGTATAAGGAAATGGAAGCTGGGTATCATTTGTTGTTCCGGATTGTTCACTGCAAAATGGAGGTAAGTATCTTGATACATGCACGAGAAGTTTATACCAAAGCCATATTTAAGGCATTTCAAGCTCAGTTTGAAGACTCTTTAAAGTCTTCCATAACGAAGTGTGTGTCCAATGGTGAACAATATATCTTCACCGTTGTTAGGGATGGGTTCTTGAAGGAAAGGCTAGTAAAAAGAGAAGGTCAATTTATAGTATCTTGCAGCTGTAGGATGTTTGAAACTATAGGTGTCTTGTGTAGACATTGTATCAAAATGATGACAGAAGGCAGAGAAACTACACTGATAAAAAAGATACCTGAACAATATATCTTAAAGAGGTGGACAAAAAATGCAAGGGTTGATAATGTTGTGCAAGACATGCGTGGGCATGAGATTGTAGAGAATCCAAGGCTGAAACAAACTTCTCGATATAGAAGTTTATGTTCTAAGTTTGTTCGACTTGCATCTAGAGCATCTGAGAGTGAGAAGACATATGAGGCAATAGATATGGAAGCTGATAAGTTAGTAAAGATGGTTGAAGATATGTTACGTGTAGAAATAAATGGTGAAAAAGATGTGGAAGATGAAGCCCCAAATGTCTTGATTGATTGCTCTAATAATGTAACTGCTGTGAATGCAAAGGGATTTAAAAAGAGAGAAGCTACACATCGTGGAAAACATCGAGTAAAGGGGGGCTTTGAAGCTCTGTTAAGCAAAAACAAAAATAAGCTCGTACAGGTCAAATCACTAACTATAATTGAAGTCATTATTTACTTCTTGCTGAATATAATCATTATTGATGTCTATGTAATGATAGGTAACTAAAGTTCCAAGACATTGTGATGCAATGGACCAATATCATGTACCTTCTTCACAACAATCTCAGGTTTCAAAACAATGCTTCACATTGTGTATAATGAGTTTTCAAACAACTATAGTGTTATATGATTCATTACTATCCATTACAGGTACTTATGCACTCTCCTATGACGGGTTGGTAATGGTAGATATATGCCAATGCTCTTTCATCCGTATAACGTGAGTGTGTGCTTGTTATAAAATGATGATTTTCTTTTTTGCTATCTATTTATATTACTGGTATTTTGACAGATACATGGGCATCAATTGAATATGCCAAGTTCACAAGAATTTGTTCAATCAAATATCATGGGATTTTCATTTGCGCAAGACCAAGAAAAATCAAATTATGAGAAAAACTAGTGCATGAGTATATTGGCGGATATGAAGAAGGAGAACGAGTACAAAGGAGCTAGCTGATGTTATACACATTTGTTGATGTATTTCATGTTGTATGAACTTGTCAATGTATTTCTTAGTTTATTTAATCTTGTATGGACTTGTTGATGTATTGTTATATTTGGTGATTTGTGTGATGTTGTATGGACCTATCATGTATTTTGTATAGTATGTATTTTGTGTTGGTTAGTTATTTTTTATAAAACTATGTCACAATTATATGCAGGGAACCTTTATCAAAGAGGGGAGGTTTTGCCAATTTTTTTTGAAATTTCATCAGGATTTGTGAGGCCAAATTTCATCAGGATTTGTAATCACCTCCCTATCAAGTTGCATACATTATTTACCAAGATTATTACTGCAGAAAATTAACAAGAGAGGAATAAAAATTAAGTGCACATTGCATGTATGATAGAATAATAATGAATCAAATAATACATAAGATATAAACGCATTACAACAATCAAGAGAAACGAGTTTCGAACATTCTCCTACTTATTCAAAGTGTTAACAGGATATTCAACAGCCCATGAGCCACTACAAATCTTTTTCCTCTCTGCACATAATTAACATGCAAAACATGTACAAAATCAAACATATCTGTAGTATTCTACGCAAATCAAACATATCAAAGCCAAAGCCTCCACGGCTGCTTCCTTTTCCTCGGACCCTTTTGCTTCAATCATCCTCACAAGCTTAGGAATTGCGTTTACAATCTCTTTTCTTGACTTTGAATTGAGCTCAGTAATGGCCCTTGCTGCCTCTGTTCTTGTACCTGGGCTTGAACTATCCAATTCTAGAATCACTCTTATCAATAGTTCAGATGATTGAATGATATCTGAAATATACTTTAAAGAAGTTAGATTTCTCAATAACCCAATCGTCGGCTGTGAATTCCGATCACCTTCCATGTAATCCATCATACAATCTAAAACCCCTTCTTTAAAATAGCAATTTTGATCGAGTAATCATCATCAATCCATGCAGCCAAATTACACATACAACCCATCAAATTCTCTTGAGCAATCACAGTCCCTAATCAACACAGGAACCACATTCTCTTCTAGAAAACTTTGCCTGAGTTCTTGAACTCCGGCGAGATTCGTCAAGACTCCGGCAGCAACTGCGACCGCAGAAGGCGTCCCCGACCTGCAAATTTTGAGGAGAGAAGGGATTCCGCCTCTCGAACTGATAAAGATCATAATCTCTTTTTTCGGGCAACACAAGCACTCTCCTTGCTGAATCCACTCGCGGAGGAATTTTGGGGAGAGTTTTGGGGAAGAGAGAGCTCGTCGGGGTAGTCCAGATCTGCGGCGAATTTCGCTCGTGGATCGAGATCGAGTTCGAGTTCGAGAGCGAGAGAGAGAGAGAGATCAACGACGGGGTCGGCTCGCGGAGGTGGTCCAGATCTACGGTGAGCTCGCGGATCGAGATCGAGGGGGAGAGAGCGCCGAGCGCCGATGATCTTAGAGGGGGAGAGAGAGGGGAGGAGCTGCAGGATGAAGGGGAGAGAGAACTTCATAGGGATGTGTAGTGAGGATATTGACCGTTGATGTAAAATGAACGGGTAAGATTTGTTCATTAGGAGATATTAGCAACTCTCATATTAGTAGAGGATCCGGACCCCTTTTCCAAGCTCCCACACTTTCGAGAAGCAAAAGTATCTGATGCCCTTCTGATTTTCTCAGATACGCGATGGGAGGATTTGATGGTAATAAAATGGTTTCAAGTGTCGAAATTTTTGATCCTCGCAATGATTCGTGGGTGGAGGTTGGATCATTGAACCATGTTAGAGGCTATGCTGCTTCGACAGTGCTTGGCGGTTCCATATTCATCCTCGGTGGTGTAGATGATGATTGTGATTTTGTACAAACTGTATGCTGCTTAGCAATTTCTACATATGTTTGGTTTCGATTTGTTTCTCTATTTTATTAAGGGTTAAATGCGAATAGATCCCCTGGAGTTCTGTTGTTGTAGACAGACCCCCTGAGTGAGTGAATGTTTTGACTCTTTTATCCGCAGGTGGTCGATTTGTCAAAAAATCTGTTCTCTTTCTCTGAGGCTAAAAGAGTAAAAATTACTCACTCAGGGGGGTTATTTGCAACAATAGAACTGCAGGTGGTCCATCTGCGATTGACCGTTTAATAAATTATCTCATGGTTAGAGCTCCAGGCCGGTTGATCCTCTATTTTCTTGACAGGTGGAATGCTACATTGAGGGCACTGGTTGGGCAAAATGTAATAATAATGCCATTGGAAAGAGGTCCGCTTTCTCAGCCGTCGTTTTATAATCATGCGGGATGAACTTTTTGTTGATGGGATTCTTACTGAGGTTGGAGGGGGATTTGATCGTCGAGACTCCTGTATGTAGAACTATGGCATTTTTGGTTCCTGAGGGATGTACGTAGAGCTGTTTTTTTTTGCAAAACCAGCCATGTATACAGCTGAGACAAGTAAGTACGGAGTTATTCATATGCGCATAGCTGAGACGAGCTAGAGGTGATGGAACACCTTGTGAAAGTTTTCGTGGTATCCTTGGCCATATTGGAACAAAAAGTAATCGCTATTGTGTTAACATCTATCTTGGTTTTACCTCAGAATGTAAATCTTACGGCCATTATTTTAGAAAAGTCGCATCATACGAATATGAGCAGATAACGCGATGCTAGTTTACAACAGCATGACTCAACGATTCAGAAGTTAGAAGCCATAGAGATCTGCAATAGTTGTTCTTTTTGTTGCATTCTACATCACCTCCACGGAGGAGGGAAGTAGTAGTGCCTTTCTACTCCCATACGACTGCACATTAATCTAATTGAAATCTGGTAAGAGAAGGACAATTAGTTATATATAATCTGTTTTACATAAACTTTTAAGGATTTTATGAATTTGGGTTCTGACATGCACATCTTTAACACAACCATGATTTGCCTCAACCTGCATCCGGCTCGAAACATAGATCTTTGAAGTTCTTGATTGCCTTTTTCTTTTGCTTTTCGGGTTAGTTATATCCATACGAATATACAGGATTGTGTGATCTTTCCTGTGGCGATTTTCTTCGTTTTGAAAATTAGAATCCGTCCTGCTGTTCTTTCTCCATTTGCAAGATGAACCGTGAGTAAAAGAATGTTCCCTTTCTAAGATGTCCGGAAAATTTTATGATTTCTTCCGATTGACAAAAACTTCTGATGAAATGAATAGTGAATAGTGTAATTCAGCTACTGGACTCGTTGCTTTGGCGAATTGCGTATTAACTTGCGATGACAAAGATTTTACCTGCTCGATCGTTAGCAGGTTAATACGTTGGGAAGAAGAATGCACCAAGCTGCAGGTGCTGCGCCAAATGCTGGTATAGTTGGAAGACGATGAACAATGCTAGGTCTTTATAATTTAATGTTTATATAAAAATTGCTTCAAAGTACGATGCATTTATATGAAAATTGCTCAAGTGATAACGTTCAACTAAATCAAATAATATATCATCACGTAATTATGTTTTTGTTACCCAGTTGGTTAATACTAAAAAAATAACAACAGAATAAGTACTGCAGCAACGAACGTCGTATTAGCGCAACCGTCGTACTGAGAACAATGCTGATGAGAGTATCAACTAGCACTATTACACGCGTCACAGATATTAGAACTTGAGAATTCTAATTTTTAAATAAAATGGGTCACTTTGAGATAATTAATTTTTCAAATGTTTTTTGTTCGTTTAATAAGCTATATTTTATTTATCTTATTTGGAATTGGTTATGATAAATATTTCAATTTGAGCGATGCCATAATTTTCCTAGCTAATGCTCTTGAAGAGTCCACTTTCCATATTTCATTCAAGTTAATATTTTAAAATATCTAAATCCACCGACAGCATATGGAGTCCGACGACAAAGCAAAATCACAACACTGAGGGTCCACACATAAGAACATTAGGTTCATAAGAAACACGACTATATGTCTAACAAATCTGAAAACTGAAAGCAAATAAGCGTCTTGGTCCTTTTGCTCGGAAGGATAAGCTCGACGGTAGTAAGATCATTTGACAAGGTGCCGCCCATTAGTGTGAGGTCACTGGAGAACCCAAGCAGCATATGCTCAACCCAACAGCCCAACAGACACTGGAGATCTTCCGGGAACTTGGATTTGCGCTCAGCTCGAAAACCAAAACCAAAACCAAATTACTGGTGCAAGCACAAAGAAAAACTGTTGTTGCTCAGTTTCATAAGTAGGAACCATGGACTACAAACTGTGTTAAAAGCCCCTCATCCAAACGGTAGGATCGGTGAAAAGCAAGCAGCGAATTCTCCAGCCGTAGATCTTCAGTGTCATCCGCATGTCATTGTAGACTTCATCAGATAGAAGAAGAGGAGACTGGATGGAAACAACCCCCCATAGAAGGTCCTCCCATCACTATCCCTTTTCCTCTCTTTTTGCGCAAGGAACCTTGGCTGGGACTCCCAGGTATGGAGGAGCGCATAGTTCGACCCCTCAACTCGGCCAATTAGGGGGAACCACAGGAAAGCTGCTCACAGGAAATACTCACCGGCCTAAAACCGTGGAAGCCATCTG